AGATAGCATAAAATATTTTTGAACATCAAGGGATAGGTAAATACCTCCCCCTTGAGGCCTAAGAACTTACATTTATTCTTGAAGGTAAGTTTTGGACTGACTACGAATCCTCAAAATAAACAGTTACACCTACTGCAAAAATCAATCTTGAAAGCTATAAATACTGCTACTAATATGTATCACTAATAGAATATACAGGGAAGTTAGAAAAGGTTAGAAGTTAGGTTAAAAAAGACCACTTACTTTTGGTTGAAGAAAAATGCAGATCATCTGTTGGAGTTGACAGATAACCATGGGAAGCACCTTTATTAATCCTTGCCTGCCGCAGGGTTGTCAGGGATTCTAACAGCTGCTGCATGCGAGAGGCCTCTGTCTGCTTCTGCCGGACCTCTCCCAATATACTATCTGCTTCTAGTTCTACAGCCTTTTCCTGTAGGTTTTGAAAATAAGAACTCTTACCAATACTGTAAAATTCCTTAAAATTATCTATATTTCTCTTGTACATGCTAACTAATTATATAAAATCAATTATACTGAAATATGATTTTTGCTCAACTGAACTGTAAGGGAATTATAAAAACAAAAAGGCATTGGGAATATTTAGAAGAACATCAATACAAAAAAGAAAAAAAGAAAAGAAAAGAAAAAAAAATCTTCATACTTATTCTCAATCACTAACCCTTCTCTTTTCTTTTTCTTGTTCCTCTAGTTTCTCCCTCCAAACATCAATCTTTTCCTCTTCCCTTTGCCATGCCAGTTTCAACTCCTCTTTGTCACGTTTCATCCTCTCCTTCTGTTTCTTGATCTTTTTTCTTTTGTTTTGTCTGCGGCTTATCAAATGCTGTACTAAACTGATGAATTCTTTGTCTTGAAAATGGTTCTCAATTTTGAAGATCTTTTCCTAATGACAAAAAGTGTTTCATTAGTCATACAATAGTGAAAACAGAAAATGAGAAGAATATCTAAAGAAAAAAAAAGAGTAATATGCATTTGTATTTGCAATTTGTTCATCCCATTTACAATGACTAAATGGGTATATTAACCATATTTAATTCTTTTTATGTTTGAAAAAAAAAGGGCTGAAAAGCTTTCAAAATGCAATCTGTTAACCCTTTTGCATGAGTAAAATATAGTGCACTGAAAAGTATATCAAGCTACCTTAATATCCTCAGCTTCCATAACCAAACTATTCCACATATGATCATCTGCTATGTCAGAGTTCTCTCTCATCTCATCTCGAAGCTCCTCTAGTCTTCGAGTTAAAGTCCTGAATTTCCTGATCATCTCCTGTACATCTGAGAGCTGAAAGTATTGAATAAATAAATTAAAAGAAATATAAATATGTCAAGAAATAGCTGTCTTCCCTATTCTGCACTGGTAATTTTAATTTTATTTAAGTACCTTTTATTACCATAATACTCATTCATGTATCTTGCCCACTTTCTTTTTATTAATAACCTGAATAGCATTTTCATCTTACTTCCCTATTTAATAAAAATGATAATTTGCTGTGAATTATATTCTTAAATCTAGTTCCTTGATAAATAAATCAAATTAATTGAAGCTCTTCTATTTTCCCCAAGTGTATTCGAGTCCTTGAGCCCATTCACACAACCAAATACTTTCTATTGTTCAGGCAAAATTGACTGAGAAACCAAATGAGTACCTGAGCCATGGTTGAGCAAAAGCACCAGATAAACCTGATAGTTTGCCGCCAGGTATGGAATGATGACCCTGCCAAACATCAGCACCCTAGTGCATATGTCAGCACACAGGCTTTGTCCTCTAAGCAGGCAAAGTAAGCTGGACACAGTTTGATTGTGTGGACAGGACCTTAAATATATGCATAAGGCTAAAATTAAGGAGAGAAGGAAAGAAGAGGAAAGGAAGAAAAAAAAAATCATCAGTGCCAATATCATTTTCATGACCTGTTTTCTATCTAGTTCATTCATCTACTGAATTTCCAAAGTAATCTAATTTATTCTATTGATTATGCAACATTATTTGTCATATCAACAACAAAGGCTATTCCTAATTTGATTATGTTGATACTAATAGCATATCAATAATATTATGTTCTTATGACTTATTACTGCATTCGTTTTGCTGTGGTTGAGGATTTTCTAAAATTTGCATACCATGACAACCAATGCTAATCATTCAATATTCTTTAAATAACAGAACTCTGACGTACTAATATATAAACCTAATTCAGAATTTTGTTCCTGTTCACAGGCTCTTTCTTCTATTGTTAATTAAATGTTAATCCTTTTTACTGCATAATTAAGTCTCATGGTCATTTTTGTAATACTGTCAGTTATCTACAATGTAAGAAAAACTATATTTTCTGTATTTGTATTACAGTTTAGCTTTCTACATGATTTTTTTTTATTTTTTATATAAGATAGATTTCATATTAACCCATTGCCACTGGGGAAAATGAACAAAAAATTGGGAAAATGCTGTACTCATTTTTTATATTTTTGTGAAATATCTCTGTACATAGATGGCTCTGCTAGTCCTGATTTCACCTTTCCTTGAATTGGTGGGAATAAATGTATTCTTACTAGTGCTATAAACATAGATGGTGTTATTTTTAACAGAAAATTAGGATGACGTTAAATATTTTCGTAAATCAATGAAAAGTGTGAATGGGTAAGACAGGCAGTACTCGTAATTGGCTCACTGGTGACTTAGTACAAGTGTAGCCATCTATGTGTAAAAACAATCAAACAAGTCGGCTCACAGTGGGCATGGCATGTACGTACATGCCATCACTGGCGACAATGGGTTAAACTTGCATTTTTTTTTCATTACATTAGGGTAATTCCACTATCCATATTCAGTTATATTAAAGAGTTTTGCAATTGTATATAGTTATCAGAGTAAAAGTCTTTAATACTCATTTCATATGTACAGACTTTTCAAAATCACATTAACTATATTTTTAATATCTTTTCACTTGTCAGTGGTTTTTATTTGTCCTTGTTTTTTTTTTAAGTTATTTCACAGGAATGTACATTCAAACCACAATCACTGGTGTGTTTATTGTCATTTGAAATATTTGAAGTACTATGTGTGGGAGGAATTAGGATGAATATGAAACAATGAACTTTATAGAATGCCCTGAACTGGGATGACTTCTTATCTAATCATGGTAGACAATTTCTCACACTGGGATGATACCATGTAGTGCGCAGTTGAGCCTGTTCTAAGTTTCTTTAGCCCTGGCTGCATTTGTTGAGGAAAAACAGCACCTCAAAAGTAGGTGGAAAGCCACTTTTTACTTTCATTACCTAAAAAATTACTTGTGCAGCAACCAAGAGCATAAAGAGTGGGGTGGTAATCTTACGTTTCCCATGGTTCTAATCTTACCCTTAAGCGGAAAAATCCACAAGCACCCTGTTTGGCATGAGGGCTCCCGTTCCAACTCAACCAACACACAATGTTACGAGAACATTCATCAGAAAGCATACTAATCAGATATGTAGTAAACTCCTCTTGCCAAGATTACAATTACATTTTCAGTACTACTTGTCTTACCAATTCCTTGCATTTGATAATCACAATCTTCATTCCTACGAGTTCCCTTATGACTCATAGCAGTAAAGCCAAAATTTCCCTTTGTCCAATCCTGTCTGTGCAATACATACCTAACTGAATGTACTTAATCTTCTGCCCTAAACCAGAGTACTGAATTGGAGATCTTTGATAAACTTCAAATTCTGTATTCCCTTTCAAAATTTTGAAATATTTTTAAATTCATTACAAATCCTGAGTCCTTTTATGTGGTTTGAGGTTCCTCACAAACAGAATCTTTAAAAAAATGAGAAACATAGGTCTCCAATCAAATTAGATACAAAGTACGTTGTCTGAATGTCTCCAAATTTTGAAATATTATTTTGCTACCTGTGCACAAAATATTCACTTGCATGTCATGCCAAATACATCTACGTGTGAACATTTATATTTACTGTGTTTCAATTTACCTACATGTATTGCCACTGAATCCCTTTACAAAATATCTAGTAAATTCATACAGCTGACTGAGCTTTCATAGGAACTGTTGTTAAAGTAGCCTAAACCTTGCAGCTCATGCTAGTATTAATAAAAAATTAAATTCAAAGACTTTCCACTTAATGCAAAGTAAAATCCAGGATACTTATCAAAATCATAGTAGTTGCAGATTACTTTATTAAATTGCAATGGTAAATGTCTATTTGCTACATGAGACATAATGAGAAAGAACAAGAAAGGAAAATGCAAGAAAAGGGAGAGAGAGAGAGACAAAGGAAGGAAGAATACCACAGATTAAAAAAAAAAAATTGGATGAGGCCAAGTACATCAAAGCCCTCTCATATTCACCTTCACAGCATTAGTTGGCAGGTTCTTCCTGGCTGGCTGTACTTGGCATCTTTGCATGATTCTTTGCTCAAAGTTATTTATCCACTTCTGGTCTTCATCTAACCCATCAGTTTCTTCTCCAATATCGGTTTGATAAGTAGATGATTCGGTGCTACTAGAACTGGGTGATGGGCCACCATGCCAAGCGGTATTGTGCCCTTTATTGTAATACTGCTGGCTAGAGATACTTGCATGACCCTGGTATGCATGAGGAATAGGTGGATACACAGTGGAGGGTGGTGGAGGCTGGATGAAGTCATTTACAGTGAAATGTTCTCCTTGGAATGTTCTCTTTGGTGGGTTATGATGGAGATGAGGTGGCAGAAGATTACTCTGTGTACTGCCATTTCCATCATCAGTTGATTGTAGATGTGCTGGCAGCTGGTCACGGTTTTGTGGAATGTTGCTGAAGCTGTCAAACTGAATGTTACTATGTCCTAATTGTGGTGAGGATCCTAATGGCATCTGTATTCCTGGGGGAGGAGGTGCTCCTCTTGGTGGAGGTGGAGTGCTAAACCCTAGAGGTGGTGGTTCTCTATTCAAACCAAAAGGTGGAGGTCCCCTGAGTGGTGGAGGCAGCCCCCTGTTAAATCCTACATATGGTTGTGGTCCAGCCATTTCCATCGGTGGTGGCCCTCTGTTAAAATACATGGGCAGGGGCCCATGACCCATTGGTGGAGGACCTCTGTTGAATCCTACAGGTGCAGGAACTCTATTCATTCCATTATTCAGTTCTACAGGTGATGGGGCCCCATTTGTGACCACTGGTGGAGGAACTCTATTCGTATCCATGCTAGTGATGTCATGCAGGTTATGATAAAATCTAAAGAAGTGTTAATAATTTAAAGTGAATGGATTGTAAAGACAATATGAACCAAACCTATGCACTGATCCTCATTTGGACTAAATTAGAAGCTAAATTTCAGGCAGTTCTTCTTTATATAGTTTTCTATCTTTTCTTCTATGCACTCTTACACCTAATTGTAAGTAATAGTTTAAAAAGAAATATCAAGAAATGGGCCTCTCTGATAATTTCCAAAATCAGAAAAAATTAGTAACACAATGCACCTTTTGAAAGAAAAACAGCTTGTAATAATGTTTGTTAAATTCAATAACTGAGCATTAGAGTCAGATTAAGGTTTTACACTTGCTTTAAACAAACTGTAATCCAAGAGTGTGAAAAATTAACACAGTCACAGTTTTAAGGCGACGAAGCATCACATAGGCAATCAGTCTTACGATATCAGGCCCAAGTTTAATGTATTATATCACATCTACGTTTAGGAAAGGGATTTCATTAGCACACGCTTTTGCTCTGAAAATAAATGCACAATATTTATTTTCACTCTTTCAACTATTAATTTTTCAATCAGCTTCTGCTAGTAATCTCTTATTCAATCTTTCCTTTTCTCTCACTTAGAAAAAGAATTCAAATAAATTTCACAGTGTGCAGAACGAGTCCAAATTCATACGCAGCATGCATGTGCAGATAATGATGGTGACTGATTTAGGCTGTAATATGAGAGGCACTTTCTTCAATGACAGCCTTGGCTGCAAGATACTCTTCTGCTTCTTCCAATTCAGTCTGCAAGTTTTAGTAGATGGGAAAAATATTAATATTCATAAATTGATATGCTTATGTCTCATATTCAACTAAAATGTATTACTTTCTTACAACTTGAAAGTTTCACATTAAAATACTGTAATAAAGAGTATCTAAAATAATAAGACAGAAATCCCCTGAAATATGACAGCACCCAGACACTTTTACCAAAATATAAAGTCAATCAAGTTACCTCTGTTTCCACAAGGGTTTTCAGGTCATGGTAGGCGGCATTGAGGCGTTTCTGGGTATCAGGGATGACGTTTTGTGTTTCCTGCAGCAGTTGGTCTTGCTTTTTGATGTAGTAAACTTCTTGACCTGGAAAAGAAATATGCACCATTCGTATTTCCAATCAAAAATAAAAGGAAAAATTCTAGAAATTACACACACACACACACACACACACACACACACACACACACACACACACACACACACACACACACACACACACACACACACACACACACACACACACACACACACACACACACACACACACACACACACACACACACACACACACACACACACACACACACACACACACACACTCTCTCTCTCTCTCTCTCTCTCTCTCTCTCACGCTCACACAAACTCTCACACTCACACAAACTCTCACACTCACTCATATTCACAAACACATTCACATCCACAAATACACTCACCCTAACATTTATACACATACATGAATACACACTCACACCCTCACATTCATCAAATTAGCACATGTCAAATTACCTTCCTCTTGCATCTTCCTGATCTTCTCTTGGATCTGCTCAGCTTCCTTCTCGTAACTGATCTTCTCCTTATAAGTGCGCTTGAGAATTCCAGTCTTGATGCGGAGCTGCTTGATACGGGGATCGGCCATGGTAACGGAGGTAGCTTAGGGAGTTGGTAGAGGATTTGACTGTTGGGGAAAAGTAAAATTCATAAATTTATGTTCTTAAATACTTCATAATCTATATATCTACAGAGAAAGAAACTGAAAAGGTGTACAAGGTAGTTTTGGTATACTGTGACATGATACATTGTCCTATGACTGTAGCCTTGAATTCATTTAAAAACTGAATCACTAAAATGAACTTAATCATTTTGTGGGGAATGACTCAATCTTTACAAAATTTTCTAGGTTCTAAATATATTGATAATGTAAATGAATATAATATAACTGAGGATCCTTTCCCAACAGGTTTCAAATTCTTTAAGTGCTTATAGGAAATATATTTAACAAATACACTCTACTAAGTGGATGCACCTGATAATTATGGTATCACCATAATAACTCACAAATTCAATAATCAACCTATATTAACTCCTTTAGCCTTATTTGCCATGATCTATTTTTCATAATCAGTACAACTAAAGGTGTCCACAAAGATAATAATATTGTATGGTAAGCCTCCTCCTGCCGCTTCCATAACATCAATATTATGCTCCCATTTCTCTCCTCTCCCTTAGCCAATCATATAGTCATGTTATCTTATACATGG